TTATTACCCAATAGTCTATATAAATTATAATTAGTCATTTTTGACTGTTTCTGGCCTTTTGTCCAATTTCGGCTGTAGGGGTGAAACAGTCAAAACTGTTTTCCCGGTCGGAGCGAACTGTTACCCGGCGCGAATTCGATGCGCAGAAATCCCCCCTCGAGAGCCCCGTTCAAGCGTTTCGGTGACCGCGACTCAGTGTTGAAGCAATGGCAACATTGCATGCAGCATTGATACTAATATTTATTTGGTAATAAAACAATTGTTTCATGGTTATTTTGGGAACAGTCAAAACTATCATCCCTCGGTAGGGGGAAGCCCTGTGAAACTGTTTGCCCTTGGCCTAGCGGCCTCGGGCAAACAGTTCCCTAGGGCTTCCCCCTACCTCGGGATGATAGTTTTGACTGTTCCCCAAATAGCCATGAAACAATTGTATATTATAAGTGCAACAGTACTTTTGTTATAAGTACAACAGTACTTGCTATAAGTACAACACTACATGTTATAAGTACAACAGTATACAATTGTTTCATGGCTATTTGGGGAACAGTCAAAACTATCATCCCGAGGAAGGGAGAAGCCCTGGGGAACTGTTTGCCCTTGGCCTAGTGGCCTCGGGCAAACAGTTCCCCAGGGCTTCCCCCTACCTGGGGATGATAGTTTTGACTATTCCCCAAATAGCCATGAAGTTCCACAGGGCTTCCCCCTGCCGAGGGATAATAGTTTTGACTGTTCCCCAAATAGCCATGAAGTTCCACAGGGCTTCCCCCTGCCAAGGGATAATAGTTTTGACTGTTCCCCAAATAACCATGAAACAATTGTTTTATTACCAAATAAATATTAGTATCAATGCTGCATGCAATGTTGCCATTGCTTCAACACTGAGTCGCGGTCACTGAAACACTTCAAGGGGGCTCTCGAGGGAGGATTACTGCGCATCGAATTCGCGCCGGGTAACAGTTCGCTCTGACCGGGAAAACAGTTTTGACTGTTTCACCCCTACTGCTGAAATTGGACAAAAAGCCAGAAACAGTCAAAAATGACTAATTATGATTTATATAGACTATTGGGTAATAATACATGTTATAAGTACAACAGTACATGTTATAAGTACAACAGTTCTTGTGTTATAAGTACAACAGTACATGTTATAAGTACAACAGTACATGTTATAAGTACAACAGTACATGTTATAAGTACAACAGTACTTGTGTTATAAGTACAACAGTACTTGTTATAAGTACAACAGTACATGTTATAAGTAAAACAGTACATGTTATAAGTACAACAGTACTTGTGTTATAAGTACAACAGTACTTGTTATAAGTACAACAGTACTTGTGTTATAAGTACAACAGTACTTGTTATAAGTACAACAGTACTTGCACATCAGAATTGCATTGTTCCGAGTTACTTCTGAAGGTTTCATTTGAGGTGTATTTCATTTTGTTACTTTTTTCCACAGATACAAAGAAAACCGTAGGGTTATCAGAGAGGGTATGAGAAAGCTCGGGTTTACAGAATTCTTAGATGCCAGTCACGAAGGATATATAATCACCTCATACAACTTCCCCAGTCATCCAAACTTTGACTTCAAAACATTTTACAGTAAACTAAATGAGAAAGGTAAGCACCAGTATATAATAAGTTACATAGCTCACCTGGTCAAAAAACTTAAATCAGCTTACCGGGTATGTTATGGTGCGGTTTGCATTGTCTGTCCATACAGTTTCAAATTTTACCAGGAGCCCTAGGGTGATAATTATTGGCCATTGACCTTGACCAAATTTCAAAATCATAGGTCAAATTTGTTAAAAAAAATCAGTGATATTTGGTAAGTACCGTGTTTGAATGAAGGACTATCAAGTGTTGTTCAAATAAAAGACCTTGACCCTAATTAAGATGTCAAGGGCAGTTGTTCAAACCTTTGAAATCTGTAGTGTTAGCTAACTTGTTATCAACTTGACCTTGACCTTCTTTGCAATACACATGTAGGACATAGATGAGAGATACATCTACCAAAATATTTGAATTACATGTTAGTGGTACAGGCCAATAGAACACCTCGTTAGAAGACAAACACTTAAGGAAAACACACTAAAGGTCGTGTAACAAGGTCACCAGGTTAAGGTAAAACAATCTAATGTAGGATGATATGCCATGTTTTTTACATGTTACAACATGTAGTATGATTTTATTTGTGTGTCTCTAAAGTAGCTTACTATTTCTGTTCACAAAAGTTAGCTTGTGTTATTTCTTTTTTCAGATCAGGTGATATACCCAGGGAAAGTGTTGAATTCAGACTGTTTTAGGATAGGTAACATTGGAGATTTGTACCCCAGGGATATGTCACACCTACTGGAGTGCATAGAGCAAGTTTGTGGAGAGATGGGTATCCCCCTCCCCCTCCACAGCTGATAAACAGAGTCTGTTCTTCATTATCATTTATAAAATTAACAGGTGTTGACAATGATACTATATCAATAGTGGGTGATTAAATGAGACTTTATCAATGGTGGGTGATTAAATGGGATCTTAACAATGGTTAGTGATTAGATGGGATCTTATCAATGGTGAGTGATTAAATGAGATCTTATCAATGGTGGGTGATTAAATGGGATCTTATCAATGGTGGGTGGTTAAATGGGATCTTATTAATGGTGGGTGATTAAATGGGATCTTATCAATGATGGGTGATTAAATGGGATCTTATCAATGGTGGGTGATTAAATGGGATCTTATCAATGGTGAGTGATTAAATGGGATCTTATCAATGGTGGGTGATTAAATGGTATCTTATCTATGGTGGGTGATTAAATGGGATCTTATCAATGGTGGGTGATTAAATGGGATCTTATCAATGGTGGGTGATAACATTAGTTGGTAATGGGTTTAGACTTCAGTTTTTAATTAACCAAACCATCTTCATTGTCCAGACTAAGTGTAAAAGTATTGGGTTACTTTATATATAAAAGTATTTATTTTTTATTTTATAAACATATTACATTATGCTTTATTACTTATGTTTAACACGTAATAAACAGCTGCTCACTTAAAAAGCTTTAAGTGTTATATTTTTGTATACATGTATGTATGTATTATGTTAGAACAGGCTGGCTCACTATAGCAAAACATGGATGATAGTTTGCTAGAGCATTGCAGCACAGAGGTCTATCTCAACAGTATTAAGATAAATGATCTTGACCCACTTTGAAGATTACATGGGTCAAATTTGTTAAAACCTTCAATGACCAGTAACTTGAATAAAGGACGTTTAATTTTGTTGAATTGAAAGATCTGGACCCACTTTCAAGGTCACAGGGGTCAAATGTGTCAAAACCTTTCAATGTCTTGTGTATAACCACGAGGCTCAAGATCAAGATATGTAGTCTGTTTCATGCAGTTATTAGGGGCTCTCAAGTTTGTTTAAATATATTTCAACAAGACCTACGTTAGATCACAGGTGAAGAAAAGTGTTTGCCAACAGAATTGCAGATCTGGTGTGTGATACAGGCAAATGTGGTATGTTTTTTAAGGAAACACGATATTGTACCCTTCTAACACCATCTCCCTACTCTCCTCCTTTATACCAGTTTGTATTCTTCTAACACCATCTCCCTACTCACCTCCTCTATACCAGTTTGTACCCTTCTAACACCATCTCCCTACTCACCTCCTTTATACCAGTTTATATTCTTCTAACACCATCTCCCTACTCTCCTCCTTTATACCAGTTTGTACTCTTCTAACCCCGTCTCCCTACTCTCCTCCTTTATACCAGTTTATACTCTTCTAACACCGTCTCCCTACTCTCCTCCTTTATACCAGTTTGTATTCTTCTAACACCATCTCCCTGCTCACCTCCTCTATACCAGTTTGTACCCTTCTAACCCCATCTCCCTACTCACCTCCTATATACCAGTTTGTACCCTTCTAACACCATCTCCCTACTCACCTCCTCTATACCAGTTTGTACCCTTCTAACACCATCCCCATACTTACCTCCTCTATACCAGTTTGTACCCTTCTAACTCCATCTCCCTACTCACCTCCTTTATACCAGTTTGTACCCTTCTAACACCATCCCCATACTTACCTCCTCTATACCAGTTTGTACCCTTCTAACACCATCCCCCTACTCACCTCCTTTATACCAGTTTATATTCTTCTAACACCATCTCCCTCCTCTCCTCCTTTATACCAGTTTGTACCCTTCTAACACCATCTCCCTACTCTCCTCCTTTATACCAGTTTATACTCTTCTAACACCATCTCCCTACTACCCTCCTCTATACCAGTTTGTACCCTTCTAACACCGTCTCCCTACTCGCCTCCTTTATACCAGTTTGGACACTTCTAACACCATCTCCCTCCTCACCTCCTCTATACCAGTTTGTACCCTTTTAACACCTTCTCCCTACTCACCTCCTCTATACCCGTTTGTACCCTTCTAACACCATCTCCCTACTCACCTCCTCTATACCAGTTTGTACCCTTCTAACACCATCTCCTTACTCACCTCCTTTATACCAGTTTGTACACTTCTAACACCATCTCCCTACTCACCTCCTTTATACCAGTTTGTACCCTTCTAACACCGTCTCCCTACTCACCTCCTTTATACCAGTTTGTACCCTTCTATACCAAAATGTGATACTGAAGCATGTGATATCAAGTAGAATAAATAATAATAATAATTCGTGGTTATACGGCCTTTTTAACAAACCAATATCTTTCTCAACTCCCTGGGGAGCATATAGCCAGTGCTGCCATTTCGACAATACAGCTAGAATTCAACAGTTCTAGCACTGTCCATTCACGTACTCATTTACAGCTGAGTAGGCTGGAACAGGCGGAGTGAAGTATCTTGCTCAAGAATACAACACAGTGCCGTGGAGTGACTCGAACCCGCAACCCTTCGGTCACGAGCCGGGCGTCATACCACTAGAATACCGTGCCTCCATAAAATAGAAGAATACACTTTTTCACGTTTTTAAGAGAATATCTGAAAATGTACATCTTTGTTAATATGTATCTTACAAATCCACTTTCCGTTTAGCTCACCTGGTCAGAAGTGAGCTATTGTAATCCATTGCCGTCTTATGTCAGGTGTCTGTTGTCTGTCATCTGTCTTCTTTGAAGGACTTCTGAAGAACCAACAGGTAATTGCAACAAAACCTCTTCGGAAACAAGCTTTTGATACAGATTGCTATCAGGAAGGGCCAGCCCCTTTTTGGGGCCGATAAAGTACAAAAAGGGGTAACTTCAGGAAACGCTTCTTGCTGCGAATCAGAAGTCGGATGATCATACTATTTCATATGCTGTAGTCTACTGTACCTAGTCTACTAAGTCTCTCTGATTTTGCAATACATTATGCAATATTTTAAATTGTTAAAACGCTGAAACGATTTCACCTGAATAAGTGAACCTAAAAGCTAATAGCTTACTTTTGAATTATTTGACTAATTTAGCAGTCACCAAAACCTTCGGAAGATTGTTTTACAGTATTTGAGTGTGAAGGCATTTTTCTCCTGTATGAAGACCTGGACTTTGGATATAATTTCTTGGAGTTGCCTCTGCTACTGTCCTTTTTATCTCCCGATAGCTTGACGAATCCATTAGCCATCCTTGTGTTATTTAAAATATCTGTGTCGGTGATTCGATAATGTTGCCATTTTACTTTTAAGACGTTCCAGATCACGGAGACCCTTGAGGTATTTGGTATTTATTTTGTGGGCTTTTTTTGAACTCATTTTTTTCGACGTTTTCATTATGTGCGGTGGCCAGAGATGACTTGCGAAGTCAAAAGGTGTCCTCACTAAGCTCTTGTCGTTTCCTTTGAGAAATTGTGTATCCACTCTGTAAGCTTTCTTGGATACCGTTTGAATTATTATTTGCTTATAAGTCTTTGATAAGGGACCGTGTCGAAAGCCTTCTCGTTATCGATATAGTGTATTGGAGAAACCTCATTCTGGTGACTGGCCGTTTGTCTAGTGTTCTAGAAAGTGAAATATTATAGAGAAAAAAAAGCCACATTGTGTATTGCTAAAGAGGCATTTCTTTACATAAAGTTTATAATAATGTGCTTCGCATTTCCATATTTATGCCTACAACTGATGCTAAGCTTATGGGTCTAGTTCCCAGCATTGCATAGATCACCTTCCTTGTACATAGCACTTATTGCTTCTCGATTCTAATCTTCGAAGTTTGTTTGGTAATTTCTTCACTAGGGGTGATTTTGATTATCTATCGCTGTGAGTGGTTCGGAGGGGGATTCTCGGATTCCTTAAGGAATCATGGATGAATGCCGTCCATACCTGGTGATTTGTTAGCTTTCAGACAATTTAGTATTTTCTTGGTGCTACGTTTTCTTGGAGCCCTACCATGCTGTGTGTTTGGTCCTTGTTTCGGGTGGTTTTGATGTCATCGAATGGTTCCTGCACGAATACGACACGAAACAAGATTTTCAGGTTTCTACGCATCCTTGTCGGTTTTTGTACGTCTGCTTGTAAATCCAAGTAATGTCACGTCCTTACATCGAGAACTCGGGAAGTGAAAACAAAGTCACCATTATCACCCGGAACACCTGGTCTATTTACCTGGTACTTTTTGTGGGTCTTCGCTTTATTAGCTCTCCTGGTCCGAAGGCCCAAGGTGAGCTTATGCCATGCCGTTGCGTCCGTCGTCCGTCCGTACGTAAACAATTTCTTTAAACGACTTCTTCTTCTTAACCACTGATTGAAATTCAACTAAATTTGACTGGAATGTGAATCTCTAGGTTGTGGGGATTCAAAATTGTACAAATGATGGGGTTGACCGCCCAGGGGGCTGAGGGGCGGGGGGGGGGGCAAATAGGGGTCAATTTGGCAATATTGCTTCAAGCGACTTCTTCTCTGGAACTAAGAGGTGGATATCAACCATATTTGACTGGAAGCATCCCTAGATGGTGGGGATTCAAAATTGATTGTACAAATGATGGGGCCGACTCCCCAGGGGGTTGAGGGGCGGGGCAAAAAGGGGACAATTTGGCTATACTGCTTTCAGCGTTTTCTTCTCTGGAACTAAGAGGTGGATATCAACCATATTTGACTGGAAGCAACCCTAGGTGGTGTGGATTCATAATTGTACAAATGGTGGGGCTGAGACCGCAGGGGCTGAGGGTGGGGCCAAAAAGGGGGTAATTTGACTATATTGCTATATAGAATTATGCTATGAATATTGATCATATTTGGTCGGAAGCATTCATGGGAGGCAGGGATTCAAAATTGTACAAATGGTGGGGCTGAACCCCCGGGCTAAGGGGTGGGGCCAAAAAAAGTGTATTACTTGGAAATGGTTGAGATCCCCACCATATAAACATGGTATACAATTGCTGAGTATAAAGAGAAGAATGCACATTTGCTTCCAGGATGGCTATATATATATAGGGTCTGCCCCACCCTTGCAGACTTAACCCCTGGGTCATAACTTTGAAACGGTTGAGATCCCCACCCCAAAACTATATATACAAATGCTGGGCAAAAAGAGACAAATGCAGTCACGATATTAGAATTGATCCTAGGGCCTGGCCACAACCCTAGGGACCTAGTTTCTGAGTCAAAGCTTGGAAACAGTTGAGATCCCCAACCAATAACCATACATAAAATTGCTGGGCATGAAAAATATAATACAGATATGCTACAAGGATTGGCCTTGGGGTCTGGCATATTCCCTTGATCGCATTCAGAGAATATTTTGCCATGATTGCTTTGGTATCCAGGTGAGCGATACAGGCCCTCTGGGCCTCTTGTTCATGTTTTGCCCTGTTTTTGTCGATTTTGAGTTCGAACAGGGTATTGTTGACACTCTACTCTTCCTATTGCTTTAGTAGTAAGCCATCCCTGTTGTTCAATATAAAACTCCGATTCCCTCTGTGATCTTGGATTTGCTCTGTATGTACTGCTTTATAGCCTTCGGGTTCTGCTTAGTTTGATGTGATGTTTCCAGTGGTACTCAAAATATTCTAGATAATTTCTGGGAGGTTACAGTCGCTCATTACTGGTATAT